AGTCATTGAAAAAATATTGTTTAAAAAATCCACGCCTATGGTTCTGGTAGTCCTTTAAAAAAATTTTGTTTAAAAAATCCACGCCTATGGTTCTGGTAGTCCTTTAAAAAAATATTGTTTAAAAAATCCACGCCTATGGTTCTGGTAGTCCTTTAAAAAAATTTTGTTTAAAAAATCCACGCCTTTGGTTCTGGTAGTCCTTTAAAAAAATATTGTTTAAAAAATCCACGCCTATGGTTCTGGTGTCCTTTAAAAAATATTGTTTAAAAATCCACGCCTATGGCTCTGTCTCAATAGTCAATAAAACTATTAAATAAGTCTATTCTCATTGCTATGATTAAAAAATTCCAGTGTATCCATTGTTCTATCATTCCAAAACTTTCAACAATATAAAACCATTTATTTGCAACTGGCACATAACCAAAAAGCACACGCACACACAAAATCAATTATAATTTCAGTAATGAACTGTTTATAAACAAATATTTACTCAACGCCAATATTTAAAAATAAACTTAATTATGAAATATAGTAACGACCCCTCCAAACAAAAAAAAAAAATATAATTGCACATTATTATTTGTTTTATTGACTTGAAGAGTAGTCATGACAGCTGATGATGATGGAAGGAAGCATCATAATAAAGAAATGTGTGTCACAGTCACACAAAACACACAAATAAAAATAAATTCAATAAAAAAAATATTTAAAAAATGAGGCGCTACAATTTATTTATAGAATAGATAGCAGACAAAAAAAAAACAAAAATATTTACAACATAATTGTGAGATATATACGAGAATATTGCTGTGGGTCCATAGCATGGCAACAATATATTGACTCATCTCGCGAAAAAATGTAAATAAATAAAAACTGAAGTGAACTGAAAAAACAGTGGGGATCGTCCATTGATTAAGAATTAATCTACATGAATAAACAATGAATATTCATTGAGTTTTAATTGAATTGTGTTGAATGTCAATGAAATGGAAATGTTTTAGAGAAATTCCACTGAAATTGAATAGATGTATTCTATATAGAAGTAATAAAGGAATTATTTGAATTACAAAACTGCCTTACGCGGTCATACGTGATGAAAAAATATATTTAAAAGTTATTTAGGATCGCCATTGAAGTGACTTATAAAAAAATTATTTTTACAGGCATTTTAATACACTTAGTCTGAATTGGAAATCATTATTAATTTCGTATATTGTTGTTATTAACGTCACCGTAAAACAGGTGGAGGTGATTTGTTTACACATTTACTCTGATAAGCTACTGTGTTGTTTTTTAGAAGTGTCGAGTCCATCGGAAATGATAAGAAATATTAACGCTAAAATTAAATTGCTTTTGTCACATTATCTATGGATAAGAATTTCTGTTTTTTGGGAATTGGGCTAACATGTGCTTGGGGAACTAACTAAGTTGATTGAAGATAACGATCAAACAAATTAAATATAACCACAAGCACTCATTTGATTTACATTTGATTGGATTCTTAAAATAAAGTAACTAAAAGTCGACGACGGAGCCACAGATAAGTTATACCGACCTTATATCAGCTTAGGAGGAAATTAGACTGCTGCAAACGTGGAAGAAAGGCATCGTTGTGAAGATACGCAAGATTGTAGAGAACCTGCAGATATTAGTTCTAATCGTAGTAGCTGTGGCTATAAAGCTGGGTCTGTGGGTGACCAGTCTTGCCCACTTTGGAGTTCTATTGGAAATGGCTTCGACTACAAAGTTGGTGTAGGCCCAAATTCGTGCATCGTGCTGGAGTTAGTTTATACCCAAATAGAGGGTAGAGTTCGGCTCGGTGTGTTGTTGCATTACAACCGGTTGCCTGAACTATAGATGGGTAGAAGTGTGGGGGGTTGGTTGACCCTTTGTACTACAAAGCAGTGGGGTAAGACCGCAATGTATGTACACATCTCTGTGTGCAAAGGTGCGCTCTTGAATCTGCTGTTCATCGATTTCATGAAAACATTCGACACTATAAAAATGTAATATGGGAAGCATTGAAAAAAGGGAGTATCCCAGAAAATAATCGGGTGAGGGTGGATAGCTCTCAGTTCTTCACAACGGGGACGTAAACCAACCGTTTCCCAACAACACGGAAGTTAAGCAAAGATTAAACGAAGGAAATGGAAAAAATATTGTCCACACCTTAAGAAAACATGTCCATAGCATAACCAAAATGGAGCTTGATAGGATGAAAGAAATTAAAAAAAAAATCCACGCCTGTGGCTCTGTTAGTGCTTGAAAATATATTTTTAAAAAATCCACGCCTGTGGCTCTGGTAGTGGTAGAAAAAAATATTTAAAAAAATCAACGCCTGTGGCTCTGATAGTGATTAAAAACTATTTTTAAAAAATCCACGCCTGAGACTCTGATAGTGATTGAAAAATATTCACGCCTGAGTCTCTGATAGTGATTGAAAAATATCCACGCCTGAGTCTCTGATAATGGATAAAAAAAAATATTTTTAAAAAATCCCCGCCTGAGTCTCTGATAGTGGTTGAAGAAATATTTTTAAAAAATCCTCGCCTGTGGCTCTGGTAGTGGTTAAAAAAATATTTTTCAAAATTCCACTCCATAGTGGTTGAATTTTTTTTTTTAATTCCACTCCTGAAGCTTTTTTGGTGGTTGAAAAAATATTTTTAAAAAATCCACGCCCCATTAAAGGTTGAATTTTTTTTTAATTCCACTCCTGAGGCCCTGATAGTGGTTGAAAAAATATTTTTAAAAATCCACGCCTAAGGCCCTGATAGTGGGTAAAAAAAAATATTTTTAAAAATTCCACTCCTGAGGCCCTGATAGTGATTGAAAAAATATGTTAAAAAACAACGCCTGTGGATCTGGTAGTGGTTGAAAAAATATTTTTAAAAAATCCACGCCATAGGCTCTGATAATGGTTGAGAAAATATTTTTAAAATAATCCACGCTGTGGATTATTTTAAGCCTGTATAAAATCGATTCTAGTATGTGGCCTCAGGATAATATTTTGACCGAACGCCATAAATAACGGGACTTAACAAACCAGGAACACATGCAGAAGTAGATTAAACATAGGAAATTGAGATGAATTGGCCACATAAAAATGTCCATTGCATAACCAGAGGTTGGAACGAATGCCTAGGAATTACGAAATAGAAGTCAAACAAGAAACGCCTGTGCGATTAAATTAACAATAAAGATTAACAAAACAAGTTAACAAAAAATGATTCCAAGGAGACAACGAATTCACGCAACCAGGGAAATAATAAGAATCCATTAGCCACATAATTAACTGCAAAAATATTCTGTTTTCATATTTAATCCATTGTTTTTGAATCCGAAATGTAATTCCCTGCTTTATCCTTTAATGATATTCTTCCTTTAATTTAGAGATAAAATTGGTTGGCCATTCTACATCGCAGAACATAACTAAAGGCTAAAAAATCTACTAATCGAGGGTTTTTAGGGCATCTGTTTTAATATAGAGTAAAGTTAAAGCTGACAAATCCCCTATAAATATAAAATCGAATCTACCGAACACACATCTTTCATCTGCCCCAAATGTAAGAAAATCCACAGAATTAGCATTTTCATTTTGCGTAAGGAGTTTAAAAGAGCCTTAGATCTAACCAGCCCTTGATCTAACCAAGACGTTCGATACGGCCAACAAATGCTGAGCTCTAACCTTAAATTGTCAAATATTTTAAGGGGACCCTCCCTATTCTCGGGGTCAAAATTTTTTTTGATTAAATTCGAATCTACACTAATTTAAGAATGTTCCTAAAAAATTTCAAGTGAAAATCTCAAGAGCTCTTGAAGATATAGACGATTTATTGTGTCAGCATCAAGTGACGGCTAAAAGGCTTCTCAAACTTTAAACGCGTTTTTCTCTTTTGCGAATGGCGGGCACAATAACTCAAAAACTAATAACCCAATCGATTCCAAATCGGTGTAGATCTTCCTTATTTTTTAACATGGTTTTTGGCGATTTTCCGAAAATATTTTTTCAAAGGTCCGCCATTTTGCTAATTTTAGAGCGAAGTCAATAAGTTCATACGAGAGCCAGACATGTACTCTTTCTAACACCGTTGGAATTTTCGGATTCCGATGTTCCAGTGAGGAGTTATCAAGCCCGACATCAAAAATAAGGACTTCTCTTTAATTACAAAAAACAACAAAACAATTACAAAATTTTTTTGTAAATTATTGTTCTTCTCTTTTAAATCTTCAAATATATATGTGCAAAGTTACAAACCTTAACAAGCATTGGTATTGATTTACCAGCCCATTGAAAATCTTGAAAAATTAAAATCGGGAATGTGGGGGTGGCTTCCCTTAAACAGCATTTTGAATTAGGCTTCATTTTTTATGTTCCAAACAAACAAAGTACCCGCAAAAACGTAATTAAGTTATCAACGTTAAGTGGCGGGGTGCTAATTTGTATCTTAATCAAATAACCAAGACTAAATAAACGTGAGTAAATAAAAAAAGTTATCGCCAGCCAACGCATGGATGGCATCACATGCTTTTCTTAACATAAATAGATAAATATTTAACACACAAATTTTTTGGATGCTTACCCCCCAAAAATTCGTACTCTCACACACACTTCTGTTTGTGTTTTCAACTCAAATCCGTAAACAATTGGCCAATTAAAATAACTATTTTTGCAAATTAGTTTAACAAATATTTTCACAAGAAATTTGAACGATTTTAATTGAATAAAAAAGAGGAAATACACAAAAATATTTGACATAAATATAAATGAACCAGAATAAAACTATTTCAAGAAAAATATGTTAATAATTCAAAGTATTTGGAAAACACTTTGCAAAACGTTTCAGCTAATGAAGCCAACATAAATTTGTCTCATTTGGATGTAACTGATTTGTACTCGATTTATATGAAAAATACCAGTTATATCCGGATTTTTTTAATTTACCGGTCGTTGCAAACCTGTTTGAATGTTGAGTTAGGTGATTGAACTGGAAAAATCATTATTATGAATCGTCCTAATAAAGAGATTTGGATATTCAATAACAATGGCAATTGGAGGAAAACTGGAACCCAATAGTGCAGGTTAAATTTCCGATGACTTTATTACCTTCGTAGGTGATCGATATTGTCAACATATGGATATCCTTGTACTATTAATATATATAGTTAAGCAACTTCGAAGAAACGGAATGTATGATAAATTCTTGAAAAGAAATCTCATAGTAGATTAGCATATTCACTCATATTTTATTAAACGGCTTCTACCAGTAGGGACTTCGGGATTTCTATATGAAGACTATGTCATTGTAAGTAATCTGCTAATTGGCTGTTTATAATCTGATAAATTTAAATACAGATCTAGATCTACAGATCTATTAAAAAAATTGGGCGGGACTGCTAAAATGTTTTTCACTTTACAATATTCCAAATTGCAAAATTGCAGCCTCTTCAGTAAGGTAATTTGTGTTAAACTTTCAAAATAGCGAACATGGAAGGGACCTACTTTAATTTGGAGATATGTCACAACATCGACCTATATTGAAAATCGTCTGCAAAGATGTGTTTCACCTTTAAAAATTCCGAATGCCAATTGGTTGGTTAGTTTTACTAAAACTTACAAAACACTGAAAAAGGTTTGGGTCTTTCATATGGGGAATGTACCAAAACGTGGATGTAAATAGAAAGATGTTTTACACCTTAAACATTGTCGGAATGCCAAATAACATCCACTTCAGTGGGAAATTACAAAATACCGAAAATGGTGGGGACCTTTATATTAAAGATATGTCGAAACACGTATTAAACCTTTATGTGGGGGTTATGCCAAAGCTTTTACCTATATTGATAATTTTCTACAAGCCTGATTGTCACCCTCAAAAAAACGGAATATTTAGAATAATACACTCCGAATTGCAACCGGGAGAGGAGAACAAGATGCTGTCAGTCAAGCAACATAATGTGTTGTTGACTAAGCAGTTCGATTCTGGCCAACTATGATCGGGATATCTTCTCAAGTTGTATCAAGAACGCATTGTCTTCGGAATGTTAAATAGTTGTACCTCCTGCCAGCAAAGCCCGCACGACACATACCATCTATTCAATTGTACGTCCAAGCCTACAAATCATCGGTATAAGAATACAATTAAACCGTAAAAATACTGAAAATTAGGCGAGACCTTTATATGAATGTTGTGAGGGCAACAACTTAAAAAAAATGAACATGAGGCTAAGGATTTATCTGGAAAAATTAATCTTCTGTCCTGAAGTTATATCTTGTAATGTTCCTTCTTTTCGAACATTGGTACATCCGAATCTCAAAATTCCAACGTAATTGGAAAGAGTACATATCTGGCTCTGGTATTAAATACAATTATTGACTTCGCTCGAAAAATAGCAAAAAAGTGGAACTAGAATTTTTTCCACCAAAAACCGGGCTAGAAAATAAGGAAGACCTTGGCCGATTACATTTAAGAGAATAACATTTTAAAAATTGGAACTAGTTGGATTATTAGTCGGACTATTGTTACAAACGAGTTTAATGTTTGAAAATCATTCATGGCGTCGCTTGAAGTCAGTATGACTATACTGCTCCAGAGCGGAGGAGTATAGTTGGACGGGGCCGACCATATGAAACCGATATTTCGAGGCGTTACAAACTCTTGGGGCTGCCCAAGGCTATAATAACATCACAACATAGTTGTGTGGGGTATAAAAATCGCTTTATTGAAACCGATATTTTGTTTAAATATCAGAAACACTTCTTCAATGAGTAATTGGACTCTGAAATCTATTTATACACTAAGTTCTTTAAGGGTTACACCTTATTGGATATTCATTAAATTATATCGAACTGGAAAAAACTACTCCATTACTATATATTGAGATTAAATGAAATCACTTTTCCAAAAAACAACAAACCTGGGAAATTGAGGCAATTAAAGAAAAAAGTCTGTAGCTAAGCCAAAGTGGTCCTTAATGGGATCTCCAACTATAACGAAATTTAAGAAAAAAGTCTGTAGCTCAGCAAAATGGCCCTTAATGGAATCTCCAACTATAACGAAATTGTGGTCAAACCAGAAAAAACTTACCCAAGAACTAAGACAAAATAACCTTAATTCATACACGGTACAAACTATTTGTTATCAATTGTGAATTTTTGTTTACAACTATTCCAAGGAAAGGGAATCACATTCGCTGCTGGAAAAAAGGGCTCTAGGTAATTCACTTTAAACTATTACAGATTTGGTTTCTTCTCCTTAAATTTTTTAAACAAATTTATGCAAAGTTTCCAGCCTTCAATGGAAAATCGTCGATAGTTAATATCGAGAAATGGAGGCTCCCGTTAAGAGAATTCATTGCAATTAACATTTACTCGAATATTTGTGATAGGGTGTAATATGAAGGGGCAAGGCTATTTTCTGAAGGGTGTAAATATTCATAATATAATTGCTAAGGACCAAATACATAGGCATTGGCTAAGAAAAAAATATTTTTAATGCTTCTTTAATAAGACTTATAAAGAACCAAGGTATTCTTACACAACATAAACAATTCGTAAAATCTATTTATAAATGGCAATAACCATTAAACGTATACTGATAACCTCTTAATGTCGATGACAATGATGCAAGTAAACGTAATAATAAAAGCCCTCCCTGACAAATTAAGATTGGTCGATGGTATGACACACTCACTTTCCTTTTTAATAACATTTTCCCTTGATTACATTACACATTTTTTTTTTTACATTTCCACTTCTACTCACCTGAACATTTCGCAACTTATCTTCTAATGCACTGAAAGCCAACTGTAAGGCGGTATATTCATCACGCAATGTTGTATTGAGATTTTTCAATTCCTCGAGACTGGATTTTAACATTTGCACTTCAGCCTTTAAGGAAGCGTTGGTATTTTTCTGTTCTGCAAGGCTACACACGCCGCGTACAAGGAAGGAAGTAGAAAAGTAAAATTATAAAATTCAATTAAAGCAAATAAGATTTTACTCCTACTCCTTAGTCCCCCAACTTTACCTTTGTTCCTTGCTGGAAATGATTTGCTGTTGTTTTTCCATTTTTAAATTTAAATCAACGATTAGTTGGGAATTTTCTCCTTTACGTTTATGCAGGGAGGTTAATTCTTCCTGCTGGGCCAGAAGTTTCTTTTCCAATGCGGCAATGGCCAACTGGGCAGCTGTGCTATCTTTACCGCCACCGACACCTGTTGAGATGGCCGTGCGTAGCTGTTCATTTTCTACGGATATTTTTAAATTGTCCGATTTCAACTGGGCAACACTGTCCAGTAGGCGATTATCTGGAAGGAAAAAAAAATAAATTTAATAAAAATCCAATAATTTTTTCTGTGATGTCAACAACAGAAGCGGTAGTAGCGTCAACACCAACAACGGCATCATCATCGTCGTTGTCCTCCTTGTTTCAGCATCAACAAATAAACAAAACAAAAATATCACAAGCACGCACACACACACACTCACACAAAAGCACACCGTACAATTTTTATAAACACAAACTATAGACGACCTTGACCCTCTTCTCTTCCTCGCTTTACAAATGTCTTTTTTGATGCGCTGCTCTGTGGTGCAGCTTTTGATGGATGCTGCCTGCCTGCCATCGACTGTTGTTGGTGTTGTTGTTGTTGCTTTTGTAATTGTACCAAAGACTTACTTTGCTGTATGATTTCTTTAAATGGCAACACATCGCGCCTATTACGTTCCCGTAAACGATTGATTATGGCCTGACGATATTCTTGATCTTCCTGAGCCATCTCAATGCCGTTTTACGCTGAGAAGGTGTTTCTGCAACAAATCGTGTACGTCGCCCGCTTTTGCAATCAATCCTTAACACTGACCACCAAAAAAAATCCCCTTTACGTCGAGGTTTTTTTTCACAATCTTCCGTTTATTTTTTGTTTCGCTTTGCTTTTTTTCTATTATATTTTTACGTTTCTGGCCGTTTTGCCGTTGCTTTGTTTCTTAGTCACTACCGTCGTCGTCGTCGCGTCTTTCTTGCACCAACAATCTTTTCCGCGGATTATTACACTGTCCCGGGACATTTATGCGTTGTTTCACATCCAAAATGTGATAATCGCTTTCTCCAAATTTTGAGATAAATATGTTGTTATTTATGACTCCAATTTGTGTGTCCAATTGGTAATTTGTCAAATTGGATATTTTTGTTTTGTTTTCGTTCGTGCTTTTGACAGCGACTATCAGCACTGGTCGATAAACAGCTGTTTTTGAGTTGCCCATCGATTGGTTGTGCTGTGGTTAGTGAATGAAGTAACGGAATTTACTTTACGTTGAGTACTTGTTGCTACGGCAGGCAAATGTTATTGAATGGGGAACTTTATTAGAGAAAAGCTAACTAATGATAAATTGATAATAGATATATAAATAAAATATTACTATCGTTGTTTTATGTTGTTATCAATGATATTTAAAGGTTAAAACTCCCGAAGTAATGTAAACGGATGGGATTGTTATATTGGGAATACTACAAACAGTGATCCCCTACCGAAAATTATTTCCAAAGAAATTGTTTAGCCCATTGGGAAGTACCAATTTAGCACTTTCTAAAATTCCCAAAATCGTAAAAAGAGGCATTACAATCATGGTACAATAATACAAGTTCAGGACAGCTTGAGGTGAATGACAAAAAAGGCAACTATGTATGTAGTAGATTCTTCTGTCAAATATAAATGTTCTGTTCCCGTACTGCAAGAATCTACTATTTTTTACTACGATAACACTTTTTTCCTTTATGATATCGGAAAAAATAGTAAAAACTCGTAGATTCTTGCAGTACGGGAACAGACCAAAAATAAATATACACAAAAGGTTGTTGTGTTTATGTGACATTTTTCAACACATAAGTAAAAATATTAAAAATAAATGAAAGGTAATGATTTCTTCCAACATTTATGTAGGGAATTCCACGAATACCAGTAACTAATCCCAGACAAATAGTTTTCTTTTCAATTAAATTTGAATATATATCAATTTAATTTTAATGTATTTGACATGGTATTGAAACCAATCCACACATATACGAGGCAGTTCAGAAAGTTCTTAGCCTATCACAAAACAGAAAAAAGTTAAGTATTTTGGAAATTTCCATCTCTGTTATGAACACAATATATGTATTTGATTAGATAGAACAAGCCACCCTGATTGATTGCAGCTTTCTGTGGTTTTTGTAATATGGTGTTTTAGAGATTTTACTATGAAAACACATTATTATTATATATATTTTTTAACCAAAATAGTGAATTTATTTAAGGTATCGAATATCAAATACCATGGTATAATAATAGAAGGTAACAGCAAGTGTTGTTGTACAAAAAACGATACAACAACCACATGGAAATTTGTTTTTGTAAGTTCTACTAGTGTCAACTCATTTGACAGAAAAATGTAAATAAACAAACAAATTATCATCAAATTATTTTTATTTTGAAAATGAAATATTTTCGAATCCTCAAAATAAAAATTGAAAAACATGAATGAAAATCTATCAAATTTATATTTCTATCTATTCCACATCTTTCCTATAATTGAGCCATTGCCATATATATGTGTAACACATATGAAAATGCTGGGAATAGCGAGTTATTCCTTGAAGTAAGATTTGCTTCCTCAAACTTTCCCAGCAGGCATATTGAGTAAATTGAATACAGGAGCACATTTAATAAAGAACAATTTTAAATTGTATGCGTTCCCTAATTTTCCTGTTGGATGATTTTTAAAAACATAATTTGTCAAATTCATATTGACACTAGTATAACGTTGGAATCAAATCAGCTGGGATTTGCTGTTACCTTTTATAATTGTACCATGATCAAATACAAACCAAAAACATTTTTCATACACTTTTTGAAAAATAAGGAAATATATATATATATATATATATATATATGTATATATATAACATTTCACTGTATTTAAAGTCCACTTCTTAAAAAAGATGGACAAAACTAATAACCAAGATACATTTAACGAAAGCTTAAACGGCATATACATTAGAACTTTTAACCGGGTTAACCTACTTTATGGGAATTTATTTGACATATATGCAAAGGAATTGACAATTGAAACCCACTTGGTTAACGAAATCTCGGTAAATGTAAACGTACCATTACAAGTGAAATTGGTGGAATTCGATAAATTCATATGGCTTGGACAAATAAATTATTAATGATCATATTTTCTGATGTTGTTTTTGTATGGACCAAACTATTATAATTGTAACATACACGAAAATGTAAAAAACATGTGGTAAGGTCGAAGCCGAATTTCTGGGGAAAGTCATATGGTATGGGGTGCATACTCGTATGAATTTTTCGCTAGGATAACGCTTCCATCCGGCCTCGAAGGAAACAAAAACTTGGTTTTCTGACAAAAATATAAATATTTTACCACGGACGGCTTGCACGCCAGACTGTAATCTTATTGAAAACGTATATGGGATTCCTGTGGCAAAGGTGTATGACTCTTCATATTGTTTTTTTTTTTATAAAATACCTTAAATATGCTGTGAAAGAATGCTGGTTAGATATCAGCATAAATACTGTCCAAAATTTGGAATACTCTATGTCGATCGGAATTCTAAATGTTAGCTAAAATAACGGTGGACATGTAAAGTAAAGTTTGTTTTATTACGCAATTTTTTATTTTAAAATTATCTGCGCTCAAACGAATGTCCTGGCAAAAAAGGCAAAATATACCTTATTTTTTATTATTTCAAAAAGTGTACGAAAACTGTTTTTGGTTTGTATTTGATAATCGATACCTTAAATAAATTTACCATTTTGTTTAAAAAATATACAATAATAATGTGTTTTCATAGTAAAATCTCTAAAACATCATATGCGCTCAAACGAATGTCCACTACTGTAGTTCTGCTCTTGAAAGCGTACTTCAACACAGATCTTAAGCTTATACGACAAATATCGTTTGTACTCGTTCTGTTGGTGGTGTTGTTACGCTAACGTTACGACAGACTAATACTGAGTGTTCTTCATTTAACGTGTGCGCCACCTAGACGTCGAAAGCATAAACAGAATTTGTTGGAGTAAATTTGTTAGTGAACACTGTGAAAAGTAGATGGCGTTACTGTGTTGTTGTCTACGATTTGTTATTGTTCTTTTTTGCTTGAAGAGTTTCATGCGACATATTTGACGATTTTTTAGTGACAGGATGATTGCATTCATTGCACAACGTTGTTTTTTGTTTAGCTTTTTTATTGTTTTGAATAAAGTGACCTTGAGTTATGACAACACCTACAATTAAAATGCTTCAATTTCATTCATATGTATGTAAATGCACTTTGTTTTGTTGTACAAAGGAAACAATGTATATTTGTATTTATCTTCTTCCGTAATGTTCGATGATAGACACATTGAGGAAATATGCATAATAATTATATTATATATTTATTTGCTTTGGAAATTTGTAATTTAATTTTATAAAAAATGATGCAGCGACGGGTGAAAGTTCTAACTACCAAAGTTAATGGGAATCGTTGGGATCTTTGTATATTAACATATGCTTATATTTATAGAATCCACTCGATTTAAAATTTCGACTACGTAAAGAAATGTTTCATCATAAATCCTGTGGATTTTATTTCACGTATGTGCTATAGAATTTACATCCTTCAGCAGATATTGGGCTGATTTTGTTTAGATGATAAAAGTGGTTTATGAACATGCGGAGGCTTATTAAAATATCATCTGAATACGCAACGGATACAATAATTGTTATTAATATGGTCTAAAGGCCCAACAGGGGTATTTTATTTTACAGGAAGGTTCATTTCATAGGTCACATTTCAAATGTCTTTGCGATGTCTTTGCAATGTCAATCCATGTTACAGTATGAGATCATCAACAAACAATCATAGGAAACGTATAATGGTTTGCACCAATTCGGAGTTATTAAGAGTGCTGTCATCACTACCAAATCTTCTTTAGCCACAGTCATGTTCGTAAATTGTTTACCACAATGTGCTACATAAATCTTGATGGCGTAGCGGATATTTCCAATGGTACGCTCTGACGATCTACGAAAGTGAATTGGTTCCATGAAAACATATAAACAAATAGATTTATTTAAAAATTGTATACAAACTCACTTCTCCATTAATAAAAAAACCTTAACGGTTTTATCATGATTATCACATTCTATATTTCCATATCCAATTTTAATGGCACATCTCAAACCTAATTTATTTCAAGCCTATAATCTAAAAAAAAAAACAGTAAGGAAAGTCGGACGGGGCCGACTATATGATACCCTTCAACACCGTGGGTATATTAAACAGTACTATTAACATGAAATTGGATGAAATAAAATACGTGATATTTATCTAAATGTGAATCGACTTAGATCTATCTATAAACATGTCATTCGATTGTTACAATGGGACAAAAGTATGTAAATCGACTTCAAACAAATATCAATAGGTCTGTTCTTCTAGAAAACGCAACTAAGTAATTTTATGCGCAATTTTGTACGTTGTGCAAAATTTGATGTCAATCTGACTAACATGAGAAGTCTGATGTCCAATTTACTTAAAATCGGGCGAAAATATATATGGAAGTTATATCATAATATGAACCGATTTCAACGAAACTTGCCACAGATTAGGTAACACTAATTTCAGTACGTTTTGTTACTATCAGCCATATATTGGATCATTGGTACGTCAATTACTTAAAATCAATCTATAATATAGCGGAGCTATATCTAAATCTCAACCGATTTTCACGAACTTGGTACACATCAGTCTGGACTAAATTCAGTACGCTATGCCAAATTTCGTGCAAATCGAAGGATATATAGGGACTTTGGTGCACCATTTACGTGAAATCGGACGAAACTATATATGGGAGCTATATCTAAATCTGGACCGATTTTCTCGAAACTAGGCAGACATCACTCTAGGCTCAATTCAGTGCGTTATGCAAAATTTCGTGCAAATCGAAGGCCATATAGGGACTTTGGTGCACCATTTAAATGAAATCGGACGAAACTGTATATGAGAGCTATATCTAAATCTGAACCGATTTTCACGAAACTTGGTACACATCAGGCTGGACTAAATTCAGTACGCTCTGCCAAATTTCGCGCAAATCGAAAGCTATTTAGGGACTTTGGTGCACCGTTTACATTAAATCGAACGAAAATATATATGGGAGCTATATTTTTTTTTTTTAAATCCACGTCTTTGCATAAAATCAACACACTTTTATTATCAATTGTACGCTTTTATATTTATTTGAAAAAAAGCATTTTTAAAATATATAGGCCCTCGACAACGCTTATATACAATATACTTATATACTTTGAAAAGATAAAAGAAACTATTTTTTGCTGATTTTATTTAAAAATATCCATTCATTTAGCTTTACTAAAAAAATATTTAAAAATATCACATCTTCATCCCTGCTTCAATAAATGTTATAAAAATCTGACATCTTAACTCGATTTTTTAAAACTACTCATTTATCTCTACTTAATATCAAATTTTAAATAAAATGTATATTCGGACGAGGACGACTATATGAAGCCCTACACAGTTACCACTTAGCTATAAGTTTCTGCGGATCTATATTCCGAGCGTCGATTTTTGCACTACATTGTCCGATTAGATGTTAACAGCTTCTCAGCGGCATCTTTTCCGAACCGTAATTTCCCGGAAGAAAAATACAGTCCATAAGATTCAAATTTAGCTTTTCTACACAAAAAAGTTTTGGTTCGTTTGACCCGCTAAATATTGACCGTTCATTATTATATGACGGTCGGTATAGTAAAAGGTGGGTCTAGGACCAATATTTCGCAGCGTTACAAACTCCTGGGGCTGCACAAAGCTATAATAACCTGACAACATAGTTGTGTAAATTTTCAAAATATTGACACTTTGTGGGGAAGGTACCAGAAGGAATGGTAAATATTTTACCATGTGGAAAATTTTAAAGAAATTGTATATTCTGTGGTCCGATAAGTCCCATCTCCCAACAATATACAAACATTATTAAAATATTAGGTTGTGCAAAGTTTGGTTTGCATCGAATGCTTTTTCAGCACAATTTCGAACATTTTGGGGGGAGGTACCAGAATGACCGATTTCTCCATCTCCGAACTTAATATGAATTTGAAAGAAATTTTACGATGTGCACAACTTGGATCAAATCGGACAATCAATATCGGGAATTCTATTAATCCATTGATCCCCCCTGGATCAATCTTTATGAGATGTCCAAGTACCAAATTCTGTCTAATTCGCTGAAAATATGACCAAAGTACTGAATATTGAGAGGTTTCGCTATATGTGGGCTATAACAAATCGTGAACCGTATAATCCCAATTACTGCATACATCCTAGGTGTAGTAGAAATGCAAATACTCAATATCAAACATCTATCTTATATATTGCGATCTCTATTGTGATTTCAACAGACGGATGTTACTATATAGGCATACATATTCTTTATGGCATCTTCGACGTTTAATTCGAGCATCAAACGACGATAAGAGCCAGCTCGTCTGTAGCATTTTGTCTTCTCATACATTCCGCCTAGGAGAGGTAATTCTATGGCTAATAAAGGTGCTAATGCAGTAAGGAAGTAACATAAAAACATAATTTGTTATAATAAAATATGGGCAATCTATTTTTATTTATTCCACTAAAAAAATTCGCAATTATGTGTTTAATATTCAAAACAGGTACACTTCAGTGGCGAAAAAAAATATTTGCCCAGTGACAAATGAATAACAACATTTTTGACAGCCAAATAGTTTGTTATTCGATGAACTTTTATGGGACCGGTATATTTTTCAGAACAACATAAAATTCTTCAACAATAATTTTATTCACAAATTTCAATATTTCTCCTCAAACCATAAACATGTCACTCTTAATTAAAATATATATATATATATATCTATATTTCATCACCCCTAATAAAAGTAACCCTTCTCTCGGAAGAGATCAATAGAAAGTTGTCAAACCCACTCAATTATTATTGCCAATGAATATGAAATAGATTTTGTTTTTTTAATGAAACTCAAATATATTTCAACGATAAATAATTAAAAATAAATTGTTTTGATTTTTTGTATGTTGTTGTTGTTTGTGTTTTTATTACGTAATCAGTGAGTGTGTGTTTGTTTTTTTTAATGGGTACATAAATAAACAAAAAAAGGTGACACTTAAAACTACGTCATGATTGTTAAAACTAGAGATGATCTGTTGTCTATGAAAAAAAAAAACAAAAGTTAACGAAAACCATAACAAAAATAATAATAAAAAAATAAGTTTTGTTAACCAATGTTAAGTAGTGGAAGAGTTCCAAAAACAAAGAAATACGAAGAGATAAATAAGTACGATAATTGTAGGTCATCTTATTCGTACATGAATTCCATTGTAGTCCTTTAGGATAAACTTAGATCCATGCACATTCTTAATATTAAAAAAATCGGGAATTCCCTCCTCTCTCTCTTTTAGTTTTAGTTTACAACACGAAAACGATTGGCCTCAGCATAGTCGCGGACATCGGAAAAATTACGTTCTGGCTTTATGCGTACATCATTGGGATCCTTGACAAATTCACCATTCCAGGATGTTGGCAAGATTGTGGGTTCGGTGTTGTATTGGAAATATTTGGAATCATCCGAACGATTGCGTTCCTGTTGCATGCGTACCTCATCACTTTGTTTGAAGGTACCATCCCAGGCGGTGGGCAAGACAATTGGTTCCGTGCAATAGCCATAGAAATTTTGAGTATCAGTTACATTTTGATTGTGGCGACGTATCTTGGAGACGTTATTTGTGGTGCCAGGGGCATAGACGAATTTGCCATTCCAACCCTCACACTTGATGGGTATATAATCGTCTTTCTTTCTCAAAGGCATATTTTTTCTAAAACACTCTTCACTTTTTAATTTCAAATTTATTTAAATTTTTATTTTTTTTACAATATCAACCGCTCACTTTGAACATCAATTCAATACTGACAATTTTCAAACCACAGAGCTTAGCATATAAAATAAAAATCTAATTAGGCGTCTGTTTTGCTTTCTTTCGCGTATTTTGTTGTTTCCTTCCTTAACCCGGCGAAATAGTGGCTTAACCACTTTTTTGCTGTTGTTGTTTTTTTGTTAATTTTTCTGTAAATATCAAACAAACAAACAAATTTAATAATATATTAACGTTATAGCAAAATATATAACGATGACGTTATATGACTGCTGGTGGCTCACCTCCGCAGCTTTGATTGTTTTGATTGTGAGCTGTGATTTGTTTTCGTCGATGGTATTGTGTTCTTGGCGCAAATTGTCTGATGTTGAAACAATACCAGCGCTGTAAGAAAAGTGTCGGCTGCGGACAGGTAACTTCTAATGTTACTATCAAAAATATCCGCACTTAAAATATTGTTTAAAAAAAAAATATTCTTTAATAAATCCACACCTTGTCGATGTCCGAGAATAGCTGGTACAACTGGTTCATTCGACGGCGATATTCACCATCAACGCAGATCGGCCCATAGATCTTTCGGAGAATGTTTCTCTCAATCACTCCAAGAGCTGCCTCATCTGCTTGCCTAAGTACCCATGCTTCAAATCCATATAACAGCACGGGTAGTATCAGCGTCTTGTAGAGTGTGAGTTTGGGAGGTTGCCTTGCTTTTGAGTTGTTTGCTCAGACCATAGTATCATCTGTTGGCCATCACTATCTATCTCCGAATTTCAAAACTGATGTCATTCGTTTTGTTTATGGCGGTACCAAGGTATATAAAATCGATGTCATCGGCGTAGGCGAGTAACATGTATTGTTTGGTGTACAGAGTGCCATTTCTGTCAAAAGGTCACACGACAAACTATCTCCTTGTCTGAATCCTCATTCGCTATTAAAGAGCTCCGAGAGGTCCTTTCCGACTTTAACTGCTGATCTTGTGCCTGTTAAAGTTATCCTGCATAGCCGAATTAATTTTGCAGGAATGGCAAAAGCAGACTTGGCTTTATATACCTCTGAACGGATAGGGCTTTCGAATGTGGCTTTATAGTCGACGAATAAGTGGAATGTGTCGATGTGTTTTTCGTGCGTTTTTTTCAGGATTTGACGCAGAGTGAAAATCTGGACAATGGTGGATTTGCCAGGTCTGAAGCCACATTGGTATGGTCCAATAATGTCAATGGACCATTGGCTTCCGTCGTTCACACAGTACGCTGGATAGCACTTTATATGGGATGGGAAGGAGACTTATTTCTCTATAGTTGGCATATATCGTCTTATCTCCTTTTTAGTGCACGGGACACAGGAGGCTGAGGTTCCAATAATTGGGCATGCATTCTTCTAGCCAAATTGTACTAATCAGCTGGTGCATGCTCCTTACCAGCATCTGACCACCAGTCTTGAATAGTTCGGCTTGTAGCCCATCGGCACCTGCTGCTTTATTGTTCTTCAGCCGATTGATTGTCATACCGTCATCTTTTATTAGATCTGGGGTATCCACTTCAGCCCCTTCCATCACATTTCCTGTAAGGCAATAATATCGGCTTTGTACTTCTTGATACATCCGCCAAAGCGAACACTGCACCTGTTCTGTACAACGTACGCACATTCCAAGTGCAGATTCGCAGATCGTGGTCCTTTATACATTTGCGGGGGTCGTCAACGTTATAGAGGGTTTGGTTTTCTTTTCCTTTGCTTTTTCATAGTAGGTTGGGTTTTCCGAGAGTGGGAAACTAACCCGACGCCTCAACCCATTAGCTTAATATTTCATCGGGTGATAAAAATAGCTCCCCAGGTGGCACCGCGGGTAGGTCAGAGTCCACAATTGAGATGCAAGAGGGACCAAGATAAGCCTGAACTAAGCCATGTTAAAGCCAATCTGAGCCGTTGCATGGTATCTATCATCCCCTACACCACCCACCACAGCTTGGATAGTCGTTTGAAAAAATATTCTTTAAAAAATTCCCTCCTATTACTGTGAAAGTTAAGGTATTGAACAATTTACCATTTCCAGAATCTGACACCTATATCTGATTAGAAACGTAACAACTCGGAACTTATTTTCAATGGTACGAAATTATCTTTTGTTGATAAGCAATCACCTATCAGTTAGTCAAATGTGAAAAAACTCCCCAAATGGTGGCAAAATGTTTATTAATTCAATTATTTACAGTCATATACCGGCAACGAAATAAAGAAGTACGAGCGTCGCCGCTGATAAAAATAAAAAATCACAAATATTTCCCAGTAAAAGGGGATTTTCTGACATTTGTAAATATTACAAAAAATAGAATAGATAAATTTTAAAGCATTGAAGATGAGTGTATAATAATTATTAGATATAAAAATCAGTACAATGTTAGAATATAATATCAGTTTGGTGAAAATTCAAATGAAAGTGTAGAACAGAAGAAAATGTTGTTTATAAAATTTTTAATATTCGCCACAATATTTGTCACAACAAAAGCCCAACAAAATGTCAGTAGATTTGTGGATTGTCCTTAAAAAAGTTAGAATTATTTAAATATCGATTTATATTTCCAGACTGGTCTAATAAATTACTATGGCTACGAAAACAGTTCGATAATACGCAACGATGAATATATTGAAACGGTGAGGCGTCAAAATGATTTTCATATTTGGTATTATAATCGACAAATTAAATCATTCCAAGATGCTTATTTGAGTCGCATTGACACCATTGGAATACAACAAAAATCGTTGGTAAATGAAATTATCCGTATCAATGAATATTTGGAACCCCTTGAAGTTTTGAGTGATTTTAGCATAGAATGTGTTCAGAAATATAAGCCGTTGATACCCTCAGAAGCTGCAGCAAAAAGTGAAATGGAACGTTGTACGGTGTGGGAAAGGGGTCAAGTGAATTATCTGATCGCGTACTTGGACTCAACTAATCGCTCGTTGAGCGATTATTATATTGGGACCTTTGAAAAGGGTGTTGCCAATTGCGGAAACAAATTTAATGCAGACTATCCTTTAAATTACACCCAGTGTTTGGCAGATGTGGTAAGTGCTTTTATCCTCTCTTCTATACCTTGAAAGGAAAAAAATAAACTTTATTTTATTTTAAGGTATCTGCCTCGAACGTTTATACAGCCAACAATCAAAGGACATTTTCTGAACAATTAACCAATGCTAAGGGTTCGTCGGAAGTATTTATAAAAGAGGCTCATGAGTGTAGTTTTTCGGTCCAAAACAGTACCATTGCTAATGTTCAACGTGCCTTGAATTCGATTGATCTCTGCCTAAATGAGAAAGAGGATGCTAACACCAGCTGTGAAGGATACTGCGAAAATGTTCTTCTTATACCGGCATCGTTGGTTGATCCGGAAAATATAACAATGGCAAATCCATTTTATGGTCGTAATGAGACGGGAGATTGTTTAACCTTTGATATTTGGAATGGAAATTAAATTTTGCAAATAAAAAATTATAATTTGTTAAATAATAAATAATATTTTTCAACTACTATCAGAGGCGTGGATTTTTTATAGAATGTTTTTTTCAACGACTATCAGAGGCGTGGAGATTTTAAAGAATATTTTTTCAACGACTATCAGAGGCGTGGAGATTTTAAAGAATATTTTTTCAACGACTATCAGAGGCGTGGAGATTTTAAAGAATATTTTTTCAACGACTATCAGAGGCGTGGAGATTTTAAAAAATATTTTTTCAACGACAATCAGAGGCGTGGAGATTTTAAATAATATTTTTTCAAGGAATAACCGATCTAAATACCTAGTTCCCTTCACCATTGGGTATCTTCAACTTATAATTGCCTGTGAACTACGGAATTAAAGCTTGTTAAATTCCGCACACACACACAAACAAACGCCAACAGCAGCAGCTCTTATTATCCACCTACATGTGCAACATTTGAAAAAAAAAAATTTAACAAAAAATCAATTCAATAAAAACACATTTCATTGTCGAGATAAAATTTCCTTTTATGCCCAAGAATTGTTGTATTTGCCTAGGCGTCGTCAAATTGCAGCACAAGCGATTTGTATTTCAAAAAAATAAAATAATGACAAATATGAATTTATATTATTTGAGTTTTGGAATTTGTCAATTTTAACACTCACCGCTGGACCATCAACACATAATAACCGCTAGACAACAAATAGATGTATAAATAAATAAACAAAGTAGATTCCAAAAACGGTAAAATTTTTAAACTGTGTTAAATGGTTGGGAACAATGTTGTAGTCGGGACAAACTAACGCCTTCGTGTTGTGCTAATTAATTTAGGTGCATCAATTTTGTTTTGCAAATCTGTGAAATGGAGGCGACTAATTAAAAAAACTAACAAATGTTTTGCAGTGCTACTAATTATTTATCTATTTATAAAAAGTGCGCACGTCGTTAACATTTAAAAGGGCCTGTGTGACCGGTACACACGATAACTCTCGAAAGTAGTAACCAATTTGATCCAAATTTTACACATCGTAATATTTTCTCCAAGGATTAGGAATATTGGTCCACTATTTTTAAGTTGTTGTTTTAATATATTTTTATGTTGAAATTTCAAACTCTATTAAGATATATCCGATTTATAGTGTAAGCGGCAGGTGGCAGCGAGACCTAATACTTTTAAGTTTTACCAAAATGTCTACAGCATTTTTTGGGGTGGGGGAATAGAGAACCATACCATGATTATCATAAGGAACAAATTACAAAATTGAGTATAATTTTTGATAAAGATCCATATTTTGACTTCGCTACCATATTGAGCATTTTGAAGACATTTTCAACCCAAGTGGAATATATTTTTTAAAATTTTTTTTAATAAAGATCCCTGGTCCTTGATATGACTCCCACAAAATGTCTCGTACCATATTTTGAAGGTTTTAACCGCATAATAGCATCAAGGTTACTGTAAT